ATCAGTAGGACACATTATTATCCCAGTATTATACAATGGTATGCATTATAATAGTACAGCAATAAACAATCACGTTTATCTTCTGAGAATACGATTTGATTGAATACACACGGCGTTGTCAATCAATGATTGGGTTGAACGTTTGACATTATAATAAGTGTAATGTGTTGTATTGTTGTAAACATAGAGTTGTGTCTAATAATGAGTCACCTTCGAAATCCAAAGTTTCAATCTAAATATAGAGATTCCCCCAGCGAGTGGTGGTTGGTTATCGTGTTCATCTAACTCGAGTTAGTTCATTTTAGAATTGTATAAAAACACGAGTTTTACCGAATGTCTTTTACAATTTGAAAAATAACTAAGGAGATTCAGATCAATATGATAATCTATCATCCTCAGTTTAGGAACGTTCAGATATTTATCAAGTAACCCATATGTGTCTCTTCGAAATACATTACTCGTGTTTCCGACCTGGAAAACCATCGCCAAGAACTATTGCTTCACAATGGAAAACAACGTCCCAATGTATTGTTACTGAAAGTCATAATCAAAGATTGACCAAAGAAATAACGTCCATGGTGTTACCCAGTAGTGGTAATACAAACCAAAACTGTTTACCAACTCCTAGCAGGTTTATCCAATGAGTTGAGAGAGAGGAAACCTGTGGTGGTTGTAGGAGAAAATATCTTACAAACCGGATATAACAGATGGCATTGTATTGGTCCAGTAGCCCCCATCATGTTGGACTCCATTTTTCACGTGACCTATAGCTATATCACTTATAAACATGTGATTACGAAATCATGTAAATCCCATTGTTCTGTCATTCCAGTGATTCTTGTAACGCCCGTGTTATCTTTATTTCTTCCACTGTGTCCCCTTGATTGACAAATAGAATATCTTACATCGTGGATAATCGGTCATATTAGCAAAGCAATGCTATTGGCTGTGATATACAGCTGAATCGATTTTATATATTACGTCTCTTGTCAAACTGACCACTGCGTCGAAACATTTGGACCCAGTAAGATATGTATCAGGTGCACACAAACCTCCAAAATTTCAAAACGGCGAGAGATGCTGATGTCAATCGATTCACTTTATTGTACTTTAAGTCCGCTTCACTACCGAGTTAGTAGATATGTTATATCACGGAATTAGATTATCTAAGTCCGCGGTTATATTTAGCAGATGAAGAACAGGTGAGAAGACGAGTGGAAGCGATATTGTATGTGTGGTGAAGGTAATGAGAACCCCCACCCCTCTTTCAACCTATCCCTGCCACGCCGGTAGTGTTACCATAACCCTACAAACTCCCTAATGTATATAACTAATACCATGACAACCCATTTTCCCAAAAGTAGCAACCCGCCCCCCTCCCCAGATACGTATATACTGTATATATGGCTGTATATGTCTCTGTCGTCTCCTACACACACACCATCCATCTTTCACGACAGCATACAACCACTATCCCCGCTAATACATAATGCATACCCCACTCCGCCCCACTGTCTCACTTCAAAATTAAAATGTCATAGTCATTGCCTGTATGATCAGAGATTGTTTCAATAGATAATGATAAGGACATTTCTATAATGACATACCTAGTCTTCCTAAATTTTCCTAAATGGTGTATCGCATCCCTCATTATGTTATAGGAACGGGAAAATGCACTACTAGACTGGGGTTCGAACCCGGGACCATCCGAACTCTAGACGGACGCTCTACCAATTGAGCTACCTGCAGGTCGCCGACCATCGACCCAGTCGAGTTCCGCTACATTCCTCCCCCTTTTTCTAAGTCTACCCTACCAGAATACATCACTATTTACAACCCAGGTTCGGGTGTCCCTTTGTCAAGCATTCGCCTAGTTCTTGAAACAATGGTGGTCACAGGCACCAATTGTAATAGGAAAGGGAAAATGCACGGCCAGACCGGAGTTCGAACCCGGGACCCTCCGAACTCTAGACGGAGCTCTGCAATTGAGCTACCTAGGCCTGGTCGCCGACGATCGACCCAAGTTCTTTATTTGCTGAAGTTTTACAACTTATGGCAATTACAGATAAGACAAAGACACTCACAAGGACACACTCACACTGACTCGCACACATCATCCTCACCATCAAGAACACTCACACTGACTCGCACACATCATCCTCATCATCTTCATTAACCTCATCTTCCTCCTCCTCCTCCTCCTCCTCCTCCTCATCTCATCATCATCATCATCATCATCATCATCATCATCATCATCACATCATTACATCATCATCATCATCATCACCCAGTCCTGTTTCCCTACTATTATATGTATGTATAATACTGGAATTCAAACCTTGTGCGTTGAAGCAGAGACGTATATACTAAACGTCCTTAGCTCAAGGAGTCTTAATAAATTATATATTTTGAGTGAAAAAAAAAAAATGAGAGCTTTAGAGTGTTGCGCCTTTAAATAATCATTTAATCCAAAAAGAGAGTTATAAAATCACAGTTATTGACTTTTCGAAGATACTACATGAAAATAAAACTTGTGGTCATGCTAACCATGCTCTGAACAAATGATCCTAGACTTGCTGAAGTTCATGGATGGGAAAATGATTTGACGTCAGTTTTTGTGACACCAATAAACAAGGACTTGGTTACTCTATCGTATCGCTCTCACCGATCGATTCCCCGCCGTGGCTCTGCTGATTCTGGAAGTAACGCCGGGGGCGATGGGGAGGGAGGGGGTAATGGGGCAGTTAGGTTGTAGAAATAACGCCGGGGAGTGGCTTGGGTTGGGTTTGCCTGGAGTGGAAGATACTAATCGCCACCCCATTATTTCCACCCTGGAGGACAATAGTACAATGACATGTTTACTCCCGTGAGCTGCAATATGCAGTGCAAAAAAGTGTTTCTGACTTCAGTAAGGTGGATTGCTTACCCGTCTAAGCCGAACCTTTTGTTGAGTTTACTATATATTCATAATTATATCAATTGATATGTACAACGTTTATTACTTTAGATAGAAGTCTAGTGAAAAACACACACACTAAATACCACATTTTATCAATGTAATTAACTAGATATAAATGTCAGTTACATATTCTTTGTAAGATAAAACGTGAGAATCTTGTGCATATGGATATGTAATAAGTATAATATCTATTATTAGATTATCCAGAGACGTGTAATTTATACTACAGCTTTATAGGTCTCTGGATTATCTAATTTAAAAAAGTTTTAATTGATAATATTCCTGATTTAATCTATGTAGTATTTTACTTATTTATTTAATCTATATAGTATTTTACTTAATTAACATATCTTAATATTTAATTACATTTTCTCTTATTCAGTTACAAAATTCTTATTTAATTAATATTATTCCTGATTAAATTATCTCTTATTTTACTTTAAGATATTTCTTATTCAATTAACGTTATTTCTTATATCACCAACTATATTTCTGTAAACATTGTATAGATATTATTTTATTATTGCTTCACTCATACAGACATTTCACAGTGAATATATACTCTCTAGATTTCCTGTTCACTGTGAATATAAACTCTCTAGACTTCCTGTTCACAGTGAATATATACTCTCTAGACTTCCTGCTCACTGTGAATATATACTCTCTAGACTTCCTATTCACAGTGAATATATACTCTCTAGACTTCCTGTTCACTGTGAATATATACTCTCTAGACTTACTGTTCACTGTGAATATAAACTCTCTAGACTTCCTGTACACAGTGAATATATACTCTCTAGACTTCCTGTTCACAGCGAATATATACTCTCTAGACTTCCTGTTCACTGTGAATATATTCTCTCTAGACTTCCTGTTCACTGTGATAGGATTTTCAGAAAATGGAAGCATTACAATAAAAACGAGTTCCTCATAGCAGATACGGAAGTACAAATCCTCAACACGGAAATGTTTTATCTACAGCACGGACTTAAATAATCTAATTCCGTGTCTAAGGTAAGTTCAAAGTTAATAAAAATTTAATAACCAATACTACCCCATCAAACCCATCTCCGGTGATAGTGATGTGGCTGACCACACCTTGATGAGGTCAACAGACCCCACGTGCGGAAACTATAGCGCCTGATGTCAGTTTGACAGATAAAGGCCCACTAACAACATTTATGTTAGCACACTCCCACGCACGTATCATATGTACTACCCGCTTACACTCGTATCACACTCTTAACCTATTTAGAGAAATATACACACATCTGGTTTCACATGGCAAGATCAAACATGATTCAAAACGTTACCTTTTTGATGTTCATTTTGCACTGTGAATAAATATATTTAATACTTTTAATCACTTCAGGACAAAAAAAACCCATCCGATTTTGCTATCATTACATTATAGAAAATATAGGCTTTTATATAAATTTATCACAAAACATATCCGATTAATTCCGTTCTTTATCTAATCCATTTGACGTATAAACCAGAGTTATACTATAATATCCGTGTAAAACTTCAAACCTTTTCGACATTTCATAATTTTCAATAAGAATCAATTTTATCGTAATTGAAATTATATTAATGGCCATGATTTTAATGTTTAAATCTACAAATTTTGGAATAGAAACAGTCTGAGCATATATTTGTGTAGAAATAAATTACCCCAGTTTAATTGGTTGATCAAGTGAATTATAAACTGTGATTTAATCTTCAATGAATAGCTTCTAACGCATTCACATGTTTCAATCCATATAGTGTTTTTTTTACTATGAATACACGGAAAACCTAATCATTTGGGAAGATTACCGCTGTTCCTTTGTTCTCCCTCGTATAAGATTTTTATCTAGGTAATTTCGTTCAACGAATGCTCACCAACCACGCATATGACCAACACTATTATCCATTAAATTCAACGAGAACTTAAAGAATATGTTACTTGCAGGTTAAAATCGATTATTCGACCAGGACAACATGTATTTTTCATCATTTTCTATAAATCGGATACGAGGGAGGTGAAAAGAACAGCCGTTTTCATCGCTTCGCACGTTTTGAGACGGATGGTAGTGGTGTAATATTTTTATTGGATTTTGCTTTATTCTGCTCGTTTTCCGGTCCAAGTTTCCTCCAGGAATCTAGGTAATTACCTGTTTTATGTTGATGTGTTGTCTGTTTTGTCTTTCACGTCCAGTTTTGTCCGAAATCAGCCCTGATCTGTGGAATGTCTTTGTTGAGATCGCGGACTCGCGAGCTCGTGTGTGACACCGCTATTTGCCTTCCGTTTTCTCTGTTGATTAATTAGAAATATTGACAATTACCGCATGCTGGTAATTACACGGTAGCTGTTTTACCTATGTGACCAGTCAGTTAGGATGTAATCGACGTGATTAGGGATTACATCAATTTTATTTGATACGAAATCGAAGTTTTTTTTTATCTTTTAGAATCATGGTATGTTACAGTGGTTTGACATGTCGATCGTCGGTAAATAATTGATGTGTATTAGCAGTGAATTGACCTCTGTGTTTCATCTTTTTCAGATCACATGATGTCGAGTGAGAAGGGCACGGTTAATGGGACGGGGGGCAGGGGCAGGGGGAGAAGATCCCGAGGGGGTACGGCCAACAATACGCCAGTCGTCAGTGATGACGGGGCCCAGCCCGGTACTAGCTCCTCTGGGTCCAGCCCTTCCGACTCCCAACCGGCTGTCGTCACCAAACCAACCCCAAAATCCTCTAAAACAATGGGCACCAGCTTAAAAAGGTAAAATGTTTCCGTCTGTTTTAGTATTGTATATGTACACGCGGAGAAATGTTAATCTCTGTTCGCACAGTATTCCACTAGCGTTGTGTACTGAACTGTATATATATACACATCGTCAGCTCATTTGCATATAAGCTTTAGCACCGTAATTTCTGTAATCTGCTCATCGTTTCTGCTCAAATCGCACATCATTCAATTTCTTTTGTCATAAACTTCAGTTTGGTGTAAAAATTATTAAAATCGGTTCGATGATTGCAGAGAAAATAAGTTTTTTGGTTTTAGCATAGCGTGCACACAGTACGCCATGTTGTGCTGCCTGCATTGATCTAAGTCGGACTGTTGAGATGGGTAGGGAGGGGGACCCTGAAGCACCTACTCACTATTTTAAACTTCTTTATACAGAATTCAGAAAGAGCTGGCAGAAATCACACTGGACCCCCCTCCGAATTGCAGGTAAGTTCTGTTCTTTTTTATGGTTTGATTGATGTAAACAGTGTGTAGACTGCTGATGAGATCAGCTGTATGTCTTTGTATGCCGAGTAAAAACATCTCCAGTATTGTGTAGTGTATTCAGCACCAATTTAAACAAGAAAATGAAATCAATCAGACCTTTATGTGTGCTTATCGGGACTTCAGAATTTTACTAGAAATCATTATATTTGATTTATTTGGAATTAAATAAGCTTAAAAACTGAGAAACGCAATATCTTCGGTTACAAAGATACTTAAAGTTAAACAGTAAGCTAACAGATTTAGGGGGGGGGGGGGGGGGGGGGGGGCATAGGCAAAGCTGATGGCCAACTGGTAGCTGTCCCTAAGCTGGATCTACATTTTTTTTTTAGATAAACCCCCTCCAAGTGCCCCTCCAAAAAAATAAAAAAAAATACCTCCCCATCCAATTGTGTAGTTTTGTGTCAAACTTGATAATAATTAAAACATCTCAATAGCACTGATGATTCATTACTTGAATTACTACTTCAGTTTGTTTTCTGACCATGTTTCCTGATGATGTTCCTAATTGATTTATTGCTTGTTTTTGTGTCGTTCAAATGTTGTTTGGAATAAAGCTTTTTGTAGCTCTAACTGAATTGTGCTTTTATACGATGGTTGTAATTTGTAGTTGACTAAAGTATCTGATGATTTTGATTGAACTATACTTTGAATGGTGTATTTTATGTTTTGTACAAAACAATTATATTTAATGCCTCTGACGTCCCTTTCAACCGATATGTTTAACTTTTATGGTCCCCTTTTTCTAAATAGTTCATTAATATGTCTCTCCATGTGAATCCCCAGCCTCCTTAGATGGCAATATAACAAAGTTCATCTTAATTAAAGTATGATTAGAACTATAATAAGTGAAGTCGAGTTATTTTGTGATTTTGATTTGAATCTGACAAGAATTCCATAGTTACACTTTGATGTTCAGTTTTAGTATGATCAAGTTTGGTTCTGTGATATTGAATTGTTACCACAGAATGTTTGTCGTATTGGAATCATCCACTGTTGTGAGTTAACTCATTCACATCTGAAGGCACATTTGAACTCTTAGTTCATTATGAAATTTCAGGGTTGAATGAGTTACTGTTGTGGCTGTACATGGCAGTAGCCTACAGGGGGAGGGAGGGAGGGGGCGGCAAGGAGGGCAGTTCTCCCTACACCTTCCCCCCACACCCACCTCCCCTTCCCTTGGATATTTTGGGAGATATCATTATGTGGCTGACTTGACTCTTAATTATGCTTCATTGCTCCAATCCCCCCCTTTCGATCTCCCACTGGTGCTTCATCACTGGACCCTACTTTCAGTTTGTCCCCCCTCTCCCCTATCAGTTGGCCCAGGCTGCCTTCATGCTGTGAAATCTATACATAATTTAACAAGATGTACATTTACTTGGGTGCTTTACCACCATTGTGTAACTATTACCTTACACACTGTAGTATGATGTGCTGCTGAAAAACCAATGACACTGACAACGTTGAAATTAATGAACGCCCCCCCACCCCCCCCCCTCCCCCCTCAGAGATGTGGGTTCCCTATAATAATCACAGTGTCTGTCTCTGTGTCTGTCCACAGGTTTGTTTCTGGAGAGTATAATCTCAGGATTAAAACACTGACTAATATGTTTGAAGATATGTACACATAGCAGTAGAGATTTGAAAAGTTTCTACGGTCAAGGTCAATGTTACACGATGCTAATGATAGACTACGAGGGGGGTACAGTCCTTATCTCAGAATCTGAAATAAACTGTAATATGTAGATATTCAATACAATATTAGGTATTAGAAAGTGACATGGTGATAAACTGTAATATGTAGATATACAATACAGTATTAGGTATTAGAAAGTAATATGTAGATATACAATACGGTATTAGGTTATTAGAAAGTAATATGTAGATATACAACACGGTATTACGTATTAGAAAGTAATATGTAGATATACAATACAGTATTAGGTATTAGAAAGTTTTCAAGGTAATCAAGGTCATTGTTACTAAAAAAAAAAGGACCATTTTGGGGGGTCGGGTGTACAGTATGCACATGGCGGGGCCATAGCAGAACTGTTAGTGTTATTGTCTGATATCTTTCATGTCACATAATTATTGCTATACTGCTGCAAATTTCTTTTGCATGTTGCTTGACAGGTCCAGTTGAAAGAGTGTTGGGAAGGAGCAAGGGAAGGCTAGCTCCGCCAACCACAACATTCTCACATCCCCTTGTAAAGTGATGCTTGTTCAGTGTTGTTAAGTTCCGTCTCCTTTATGATAATATTGCTCTGTTCTTACACATTTTTTATTGGAATAAATTGTAGAAGAATATTTTCAAAAAACTAGATATGGGGCTCCTACTTAAAAAGCATTCCAGAGATGCCCCAGAAATGTTCTTGTAAGTAAAAACGTTGTGATGGATGAAAACTTTGGAGGGTGTGAAATAAGTTTCAGTGAATATGTTTAATGTTGTAATAAGAATTATAGAGCTTATTACTTTTCCATTTGTTGGCTCTAACGATCATGTACGTAATAATACTTTAATAGGAATTAGTGATGACAGTATTTCTGCCACTGAAACCCTATTGTATCATATTGAATAGGTTATACTTGCAACATAGAAAGAGAAAGGGTTACCTTGATATTTGATCCACAGCCTAAACAGTTAGTGTCACATAGTTGTACCGTCAACAATTGTACTCAGAACTGGGTACCTGATAACACTAGCGGTTGGGGTATATGTAGGTACGCATCCTGTAACTTGTGTGTAGATTGACAGATTCATTATGCAATTTTTGCATTGATCAATATTCTATAGCACTCTCTAGACCCATATCATAAATATATCATCAGCTCGGTATTAATTATAGAAGTGTTTGTATTAACACTTTTTTACTCTCTCTCTCTAGCATATAAAACAGCTCTACAGCAGTGTATACAAAAGTTAACATTCAACTATAAACAACCCTTTCCTTACTTAAAGCAGCCCTTATCCTTTAGGTCTTAACATCCTATCCGGGATCCCTTTACTATGATTTACTGAAAAAAAAAAATGTGCGCCAGAGTCATGATTAATGCTGAAAAGTGGCGAGTTAAGATAACCGCCAAACTTGGTACATCCTCACGGGTAAAATATAAACATTGTTTTAGTAGATTTTCTTTTAAATCAGAAGCTATTTATTTACCATTTTATGTATATGAATTAATTACCTTATCCAATTAAAACACAGCTATGTATGCATGGTTGCACCCAAGAGCACAGAACCATGATGGTACTGCGCTACACTGCTTAGTAATTGATTTGTAAGCCGGCTGTAAACACAGAGCGGAGGTGTATAAGGAACATTCTATTGCTAAACGCTGAACTGTATATAAATCAGTAGTGCTGGATTTCAGGACATGGGGGGGTGGGGTAACTGGCAGGATCATTTTCTTTCTTTCATGGTCAAATTTTTTTTTTTTTCAATGGAAAATGATTGATGTCCAATTATTTCTTTACGTTCACACTCTCTCCCTAAATAACAGTTAATCACATGCTTTGCCACATCCATTTAATCTTTCTGCATCCGCCAGTGTTTCAACATGATAATAACATTACACAACATCTTTTAAAGTGTATTCTCATAACATTGTATATATAAATGTATGTATCAGAATTTTAATTGATACTATGTATTTATACATACACAACATTACATTGTATATAACTATACACTGGAGTTTTAATTGATACTATGTATTTATACATTCACAACATAACATTGTATATAACTATACACTGGAGTTTTAATTGATACCATGTATTTATATATATACACAACATTACATTGTATATAACTATACACTGGAGTTTTAATTGATACAATGTATTGATATACATACACAACATTACATTGTATATAACTTTACACTAGTTTTAATTGATACTTTGTATTTATACATACACAACATTACATACTATATAACTATACACTGGAGTTTTAATTGATACTATGTATTGATATACATACACAACATTACATAGTATATAACTTTACACTGTAGTTTTAATTGATACAATGTATTTATACATACACAACATTACATTGTACATAACTATGCACTAGTTTTAATTGATACTATTTATTTATACATACACAACATAACATATTATATAACTATACATTGGAGGTTTAACTGATACTATGTATTTATACAGACACAACATTACATTGTATATCATTGTATATAACTATACACTACTTTTAATTGATACTATGTATTTATAACATTACATACTATATAACTATACACTGGAGGTTTAACTGATACTATGTATTTATACAGACACAACATTACATTGTATATCATTGTATATAACTATACACTAGTATTAATTGATACTATGTATTTATATACATACACAACATACCATTGTATATTACCATTGTATATAACTATACCCTAGTTTTAATTGATACAATGTATTGATATACATACACAACATACCATTGTATATACCTATACACTGGAGTTTTAATCGATACTATGTATTGATATACATATACAACATTACATTGTATATAACTATTCACTGTAGTTTTAATTGATACAATGTATTTAGACATACACAACATTACATTGTAACAACATAACATATTATATAACGATACACTGGAGGTTTAATTGATACTATGTATTTATACATTCACAACATAACATTGTATATAACTATACGCTGGAGTTTTAATTGATACTATGTATTTATATACATACACAACATACCATTGATACAATGTATTTATACATACACAGCATTACATTGTATATAACTATTCACTAGTTTTAATTGATGCTATGTATTGATAAACATACACAACATAACACTGTATATAACTATACACTGGAGTTTTAATTGATACAATGTATTGATATACATACACAACATACCATTGTATATAACTATACACGAGTTTTAATTGATA